CCGGGGGCTGCCGCTCCGCGATCTCGGTAGGGCCGGAATCGGCGGCGGCGGGGGCTGGAGCTTGCTGGGTTCCGAGCAGGGTCTGCACCGGCTCTCCGGTGGCAGGGCTGGAAGGCGGCTTATCCATGCACCTGGCCTGGAGGAGTCATCGGAACTGCCTGACGGGTGACTGCGGGTTAATAATGCTCGCTGTTAATTTAGAGTGATGGAACTTCTAGGGCAGCACAGCATGTGTGCTCAGGGATGTACTTGCCTTCTGCTATCTGGGCAGTAAATAAGCACTCGGAGAGAATGATAATTACTCGGACAGTAATATCAGCCATGCTGTGTGGCACCTCACGGCTTTATTGCCCCGTTAGTCACATGTGAGCTTCCACTGTCTTCAGCTGGAAGGATTGGTCCCATGGGCGATTAACAGCCACATCCTTCCCTGGTGTGTTTAGCCAGCGTGCCGCACTTCAGTCTGTGAGGTGTGGCACCAGCCTTGCTGGGATCACCAGCTTGCAGCATGATACCTGCTTTTGCTTTGGTGTAGGTTGCGCGTTGGAGTCTGCTAGCTAGTGAGTGAATGTGGTGTTGCATCTTCCAAATAGCAGGTTGTGAGCTTTATATGTTACAGTAAGTACCAGGAAGCCAGAAATACATTTGTATTAAATAGGTGGGAAGATATCAGGTTTATGTATTCGTGTTCTTTGTGGTCAGTCATTTTGTCACTCCCTCAAAACACACAGGCATACTATTTAAATACTACTTTCTTTTTCTCCAGTCTCTTCCTTTATTCCCTAACCTACTAAGGTTGAAATGTTTCTGTGCAGAAGATTAAACGTACATCTAGAGGCCAAATCTTTACACCCAAAATTTAATTGCTAAGTCTCTGTCTGTTAGTAATGGTCTGTTAGTGAAGCAAACCTGTGAGCAGTCTGTGGTACTGTGTGGGAGCTGTGCTAACTCCTGCTTCTGCTGACCTAGTGTCACTACAGTCTCCTCTGCCAGTCCTGGGACCGACAGCGGCCTGATCCTGCTCCATGTCGCCGAAGCAGCCAGTCGGTAGCTCTAGAACCATGTTTAAGGTGTGCTAGTTCAAGTGTGAGTGCCATGTCAGTCCCTGCCTATGTGACACAGCCCTGGCATGGGATAAGGATAGCAGCGGACTACCTGTGTGTCCTGGTTTTGGCTGGGATAATTTTCTTCCTAATAGCTGGTATAGTGCTGTGCTTTGGATTTAGGAGGAGAATAATGTTGATAACATGCTGATGTTTTAGTTGTTGCTGAGCAGTGCTTATGCTAAGGCAAGGACTTTTCAGCTTCTCATACTGCCCTGCCAGCGAGGAGGCTGGGGGTGCACAAAAACCTGGGAGGGGACACAGCCAGGACAGCTAGTGTGGTATGTGCTGACATAGCTAGGAACTAGTGCTCTATGGCACTATTTTTGTGAAAAACCCTCTAATTGCGACTTGTATAGTCCATAGCTTCTGTATGTTCATTGTAGAATAGAACGCTAACATACTAACGTGCGTTTTAATGTAGCTGTATTTTGTCTGAAAAAAAAAGTATTTCGTTTATGTAAAATTATTTGTCCAACAATTTGAAAACTGCATGTAAGGATTTTGAAGAGTTAGGAGAAACCTGTGGCAAAACTGATTCTCTTTTCTTCTGACTTTTCTTCTTCCCCAGCCATTTTCTAGCTTCTTGGTTGATTTCCTAGAATATTGTGAATGGCTTTTGTTTTCCCTCAGGATCATCTTAAAAGCTGGTTGTGCAAATAGTAGTGAGATGACAATATCCGACCAGGAAGTTAAGCTAGAAATTACAAACAGAACAATGCCCTTTTTTTAGTTCAACATCTTCGTGTATCTCTAAAATCCTGGTTATTATCTAAAATGACCATATGTGTAGTTTTCGTAAGCTTTTCCAATTGAACTTGTGAATGGGGCTCCTGTAACCGATACTGCTCATTAAAGTATAATTTGAAGGTTGCATTTAAACTGGATAGGTATCCATTGCAAGTACAGAATAAACAAAGCTTTCTTTTAAGGCAAAACATTAGAACTGTTCTAGTAACAGTATTGCATGCCTCTAATAGACTGGTGTGATAGGCTGCCTTTTCACTGAAAGCAGAAAACTAATACCAAACAGGTACTCAAAAACTGCTTCCTTTTTTTTTGTAACCAGACATTTCCTTCAAATACAAGTAGCTGGTAATGGTGGTTAATAGACAGACTTAAAAAACTTGTTTTGCAAAGCAAGATTTAGTCCTGCTGTATGCAAAGAACGTGATAGTCTGTAGTTTGAAAATTTAATTAGAAGATTGGCTTGCAGCGATATGAAGTGATTCTTGCCTTAGCCTTTTTTTTGCCCATAATGGTCAGACTATGAGCCAGGTAACATCTTTCAAGTGTCAAAGAAATAATGCAGAGTTCTGTTCAGTTTCTTATTCTTGTTAATCTTTCCTCTCTCTGCCAGGTATACTGTTCTTGCTCTTCGGTTCCTTATTTCTAATTTTAGTAGCTATACATCCCTGATTGCTCCTCTTTACCCAGTGTCTGTAGTTTTCCCAGTGGATTAAGTTTGCAACTTGTTGTCAGAGTTAAGAAAATAAAAGCAACAAAGCAGCAAACAAAAAGAGGCTGGCTTTCAAGAGCGTCTCTGGGGAAAGGGTTAGACAGTGCAAAATCAGTGTGATATGTACTTCAGTACATAAGAATTGAGATCACATGGGGCTGTTTGGGTGGAGAAGCAGGGATTTGTGTGGTAGATTAGGGAGAGTACAATGAATTTCACAGACTTAATGAAGTATCTGAACTCTCACCTTGCTGCCATTAAGCAAAAACTCTGAACTGTCTGCCACGTCTCTACAGCAGTTTACTGGACACTAAAACTTAACTATCTGTTGTAAAATTTTTTTTGGATGTTTCAGGAGCATGTTTATAATAAAGGTGTCTAAACTTGGGTGAAGAAGTAGAATCCTGCTGGAGACGCTGCAGACAAAGTAGTTGGCAGTCCTTCTCCAAAAGCCTTGTCTAAGCACAGGTGATAGAAGGGATTTAACTTGCAAACAAAGTGAACAAGATGAGAATATCGTAGTCTTACTATATTTGGGAGGAGGAAATTACAAGAGGAATGTTAAATGAAAAGGACAAGGCAAACAAGTGAGTAGGTACAAAAAATAGATAAAGAGCAGATAAGGAGCAGAGCTCACCACGCTGAAGCAGTAGCTGGAGGCGATGGGAGCAGCCAGCTGAGGGCAGAGATAGTCGGGCGGTAGGATGTTTCCCCGTGTCAGGCAAACACTATTCTGCCTGCTTCTGCCAGCCTGCCTGGCTGCTCTGTGCCTCACTCTCACTGAGAAGGACTGGGGAGACAGGGAGGATGGGGTCTGAATTCTGGTAGGTAGCATTGCACTATAGCACTAGGAAACAACTTCCTTTGCAAGCTCGAGTTCCAACAAGCTGTGGGGAGAGGCGCTGGCATTGTGACAGTAATAGGGATGCTGTCACTCTCCTTTCCCTTCCCAATTTGGTTGTCTGTCCTTTGCCTATACGGTAGTAAACAGATGAGTCTTTAGTGCTACCACATGTTATCCTTCACTGGGAACATCTTTGGTAGCAGAGGCAGAATTTGTATTGCTAAAACTGATTTAAGGTATAAAATAACAAAGTTGATGTTGGCTTCTGTAATTGATCCTACTGACGTCAGTAAAAACACAATGGAAGGCCATTAAGAGGTGGTGTTTGTCAGTGCAGACTGGGTACTTTGGCAATATTTATAAAAGGTAAGTGACTTTCACTTCTGTGTATGATTTATGCTTTCTCATTGCTAATATGTCAATTAAAGATCATGTTTTCTTCAATGTAGTGTTTGATTAGCATCAATCCACAAGCTCTTTAGAATTTCTGAGAGGCTTTCCTGGTTTGTTGCTGCGGTGCTGAAACTCTTGGGATTGAGACAGTGGAAGAGTGGTGGTCAGTACTGGAACCTAGTTGCTGATGCAGCATGTTAATCTAGTTTTAACTCTGGTTTGTCTCTCAGGCTGACTTTCGGCTTCCAGAAATCGGTCTGATCTTTTTAGTGTGAAGCTGTGTGGGACGTATTAAACAGGATTCATGACAGGGATTAATAAATAAAAATAACTTAGATAACAGTGAAGCCCTGTCCAGTCATACCTTACAAAATGAATTATCTTTATGGAAATAGAGCACATTCAACCTTCTGAATCAGTTCTTCCATGAGTTGTGTTCCTTTCATTCAACACTATTAAGTTTGCTATGATATAGTTCTGGAACTTACTGTTTCCATTCCTCTTCAAGATTTGTGTAAGTAGAATTTACTTTATGTAATCCTTTTTACCAAGGGATTACAGGTAAAGGACCTGAAGGTCTAAGTGGCTTTCCTGAAACTTGATACCAGGACAAAATGCTATTTTAGCAAGACATTCATGTTTGTTTGATTTATATTCTAAGTGAGGATTAGTGTCTCTAGCAGGGAATTACCTGTATAGGAATGGATGAAACTAACCTGGAATATTTTGTCGAGCCTGTGGGTCTGTGACGTGAAGGCAGTTATTTTTCTGGGAAATGATCCAAAAGCATGACTCTGCGCTGCTTGGAGTTTCCTGTTCTATATCATTACAGTGTGTGTTGAATGATTTAAGCGGAAAGCACTCACTCTCCACCTATCCTGTAACTTATTTACATATCGATGGTTATTAAACCCACTGATCTTAAACCCTTCTGTTCTCCAGAGGAGGAACACAAGATTTGTCTAGTTGCTTGCCAAAATCCAAAATGTTGTCCAACAAATGGATGCCACTCTACAAAGGGAAGATTTATCAAGCTCCTGCTTTTTATCTTTATTTCACAAATGACCGCTGTTCTCCAGCAATTTTTTTTTTTTTTCCCTTCTGGAAAACAACAGTTTAAAGGGAAAGCTAGGTCTAAATGTCATAGCTTTTCCTGGAGCTATAGTTTACCTCGTCCCATCATAGGTCAAAAAGAAGAAGGAGATGGTTCAGCTTGAGCATTGCCTGCTTCGGGTTCTTTCTAATGAACTAGGACTGGTCAGAAATTTATAAACTGCTGGTCTACTGAACCCCAAAACAAACCTATACTGTAGGCATCTGATTTGATAGGAAGAGTTTCTCGTGATCTTTGGGCTTGGGATGGAGGAAGTGGGTGGATTGGCGTGCCACCTGTGTACCCTTGGCATGCTACCTGCACACCATTGGCGTGCCACCCATACACCCTGAGTGTGAGCAGGTATGCTCATACACGCCTCCGTCCCACCCTACAGCATTTATGTACCACGTAGCATAGTGATCTTTGAGTGGCAACAGCCTCAATCAAGAAGAGTATGGGTTATCCGTGTTCACATTCTTGCTCACTCCAAATGTCTCAAGGTTTGGGATCTAATGCTCTCAGATAGCAGGAGGGAAGTCTTTATTTTTTCAAGAACAAAATGCAAAGATTTGAATTTGCCTCAGTGTACATGGGGAATTTATTTAAAATCCTTAAAACTTTGGGAGTGGGGAAAAAACAGAGTGGCTTCACATTCTGGATCGAGTGTTAGACTGTAAATGTCCCTGTGGATTTTCATAGAAATCCTGGCATAAAGCACTTCTTAAGACTCAAAGGCAATAAAGTGGATAATGATGGAACTAATAAATAGATGTTCTGTCTTGTGCTTATTTGAGTGTCTTAGCAAGCTTTTGGGGGTATGCCTAGAAGTCTTTAAAATGAGTAAGAGAAAGAAGTGATTTTTTTAGTCAGGCTGATCTGTTTCTTCCATTTGGTTGCCCTTTAGCAAGTTGGTTGATAGATGTGGTTGATGCCTTCTACAAGCTTGCTTCTGGATAATGCTGAGTCTACACAACCCATACAGTTCCATGAAAGTATCTGTGCTCTTCACAGTTTGAATGAAGACGAGGCAAGTTGACAGCAGTTTAGATCAGCGGTCAGCTTTCCAGCTGCCTTGCTGGCAGGCTTCCCAGCTTTCTGGATGGCTGAGTCTGAGTTGGGTTCCTGGGAAACC